TACAAAGCCCAGTTTGCCAACAGGATAGACTGAGATTCTCATCTTTCTGCGTACGCTACACTAAAATACAGTACGTATGTAATGTAAAGTGCCTATCGTGCGTTTGCTAATAAGGAACTAGGACTCTCCGGTTAATGCGCCCGCCTCTTATTGAGCCCAATTTGTTCTGGGCCCGAGGTGGGCTTAATAACCGGCGACTTCTGTATACTGAAGTTGAGCAATTTTTTTCTCTCGAAAAATAGCTTTATATAGATACTTCGACGTCAACCATCTGCGTACTGTACCTTTATCAAGTATAAGTTGAAGATATAAATCGCAATTTCTGACCGGTTTTTTGAAAGTCCTGAATATCAGGAATAAATAATTTGTTGGAGGTGAAATAAGTCAGTTTTCTGTGTATAATAGAATAGTTTTCGTTATACATCTTTTCTTTTAGGCCACGTTTGACGATTGCAAAGCACGTCAGAGTAGCAGAATAGATACGGTGATTTTGCAAAAACTGAAGATCTTCTGTCCGTTTCGTTTCAAGTTTCCTTATTCGTTTATACTGAACTGTATATAAGAAGTCTTTGAACCTCTTTTGAACATGGTTGAAGAAAGAAAAGTTCCCGCATTTCTCGGTTGCTCACTTAAATGTTTGTTTAGCGTCCCTATTTTCGGGGTAGATTAAATGAATTACATCCTTAATGGTATATTTTTGAATTTATGGCATAAACCATGGCAGATTTGTAAAAGCGAATTGTATAAGCAGACTCTGCTCTTAGTTTTCGACAATAATGCGTTATATTATAATTGCACTTACCTCAAGTTCATGAAGGCAAAACGAAATTTTCAGATGTCTCTGAAAAGATTACTTAAAAGGGTTTTTTGTTTTTTATTAATATTCTTTTATAGTATGGCACTCACAAGCAAGATGTTTTAGTCTGCAGCGTTAAATAACGTAGAACATTCCTTAGGTATTGACAAACTTTGGATTTTACCAAATTCTGCGCCTACTTTCCTTCAATATACGGAGCTAAAATATAATATTTTCTAGTAGATTATAATTTGCGCTTCAGGTAAATTCAGTGAATAAAATAAACAAACTCAAATGTTTGTGGAACCATCCATTTAAATTTCGATATTCACATTTTTTCAGTAAGGCGATTTACCGTATAATTAATTACACATGTAATTAATATAATTCTACAGTGAGGTAATGAAAAGTGAAGATAAAACTTCAGAATTGTGGTTGGTATTTCATGAATTGGACTTTAGAGGTTCTTACCATCTGGTTTAAAGAGATCAGGAGTGCTGCCTACTTGCTACTCCGGTGTCTATCTACCTCATATTAATCTTCGCTTTTTGCTTTCTAGTTTGCAATTTTTTGCCTGGACTGCATTTGCCTCCGGTAAACACTGGAGATTCTTTTGCCCGAATTGGAAAATAGCATTGTTACCTCCCCTTCACTCCTGTGCTTGTGCTTTCGTGCTTAAATAAATCAAACGCTATATGGAGGCGAACACGGACAAAGTGGACCCCGAATTCCTCTCTCATCTGCCCTCCAGGGTGAAGAAATTGCGACATGGGATAGAAATTGCCGCGGTGTCTGAGACCGAATGCCAGAACATACTGAAAAACTTTGAGCGCCAGCTGGCTGAGATCAGCGCTCTTATGTACCAGCGGCTGGACCAATTTGGCGAGGTATTTGTGGCCGTTCTAGCCATCAGATTTCCTTCCTGTATGCAGGGTTCTGACTCGCTTGCTTGGCTTGTAATTGGAGTGTGGGTGCTTGTACTGACCGTTACCTCCCCGCTTGTGCAATAGTAATCTGTTATGTCTGCCTGCTATTGCCTTTCCACGATCACACCCACACACACACACACATACACCTCGTCTGCTCTGCCATTCTTTTATTTTCACCGATCTGATCACTGCGGACGGGTTGAGCATTATCAGCCTATAACACACTGAAAAAATCAACAGTACTTCAGTTCTACGCTCCAACGACAGCTCTAAATTCCTACTGCAAAAAAACAGGGGGAGAAATGTGGAACGATCTGCCGC